AATAAATCTAAAAATAAAAATAAAAACAGAAAATAATTAATAAAGGGCAAAAAGTACTACAAAATAATAATAATTTATTATACTAAATTTAATAAAAAAATGAATTGTATTTGTTTTATTAAGTAATTTCCCCCCTTTATTTTCTTTCCTATTATTACATTTATTTATTTATAATTTCTGCAGGTTTGACCCTCCATATCACAGCAATGAACAGGAAAATGTTGTAAGATTAATCAATTATAAAACCAATTCTATAAAGTAAAGCAGCTCTAAATTATTGAGTTAAGTGTCAATTCAATTCAGTTCGTTTGCAAAGTTCATTAATTTTGAAACTAGTTCAATTTCAACTGTACAGACGACAATAGTGTCATTCAGATTAATTCAGTTCAGTGTTCGATAACAATGTCAAATATGAAACAAATTCAAATTTCAATTGATCAAAAGTGACATTTATAATGTAACAAAAGATTCTGTTTCAAATAAATGCTTTCAAATGTATCATATTATTATTTCAAACGTATCAGATGTAGCAAATGTATCAAAGGAATTAGAATAGGATCATGTGACACTGAAGACTGCAGTAATGATGCTGAAAATTCAGCTTTGATCACAGAAATAAATTACATTCTACAATGTATTCACATAGAATACAGTTATTTTGACTCCTAATAATATTTCATAATATTGTATATTTTTATGGGTTTTTTATCTATATTTTTAAAATTAATTATGTTATTTTATTACATATTGTTATAAAGTTCATCAGTCATATAACAAATTCTGTTTCGGCTGTAAAGCAGCTCTACAGATGATCAATTCAGTTCAAATTTTGTTCTTTGTATCAGTGCAGTCCAATCGATAATATTACTGAATGATAGTGGTCTTTTAAACTAATCAGCATCTAGTGCACTATATTACACGTCTTCTGAATTCATATGATAGCTTTGACTGACTGCAATTCTGACAACTTTGCTCAAATCTCATTGAAAGCTTGGCAGATCTACTTGATAACTCCTTTTGTGTTTTGAGCAGAGATGATGACAGACGTTTCATTTTTGGCCGAACTATTGCTTGAACATCGTGGTGCATGTATTTACTTCTCAAATCCACAGCGAGGGCAGCGTTTGGCTTGGATTTCCCTCTGCCCTCTCCAGATCCGCTCATGTGGACCTGCAGTTGGCAGATGATACCCCAGAGGAAAGTGGAAACAAACACAGGCAAACCTGACCTAGATGTTACGTAAGAATAGAGAACATAAGGGCAGAGAAAGCCAGCTATTTGCAGAGGTTACAAAGGCCACGCGCCGGAGCGCTGAGAAAGACTCCTACTGTAGCAAAGATGCCGCGCAATAAAATATGTTGACCCTGATGCCGCCCGCCTGCAATTATTCTTTGCGCCATGACTCCTCGCATTATTTATGTGATGGGGAGATGGTGTAAATCGAGCTCTGCGAGGGGGCCATGAATCCTGGGGCAACCGTGAGGCGTGTTTGTGCCGCGCGGGGAGAGAAACGCTCCCGCTGGAGTCCACCATGGTGACAGACAGGAGTCCCCCGAGAGCGCCGATCCTCCCGCTGAGCCCCGCTGTAATGTATTTGCGTGTTGTTTGCACTCCCGAGCATCGCTTCCTGCTTTATCATTATAATTACAGCTTGTTTGAATATCCTCATCACAGAAAATGTTCTTTGTTTGAAAGAAGTCAGCAGTGTTGCTCAGCCAAGGATGCATTAGAATGATCAAAAGTGACATTTATAATGTAACAAAAGATTTAGATTTCAGATAAGTGCTGATTTTGAACATTCTATTCATCAAAGAATGCGGAGAAATCAAATGTATCAGAATGAATTCTGAAGGATCATGTGACACTGAAAACTGACCACAGGAATAAATGATATCTGTGACCCTGCAGCACAAAATCAGTCTTAAGTCGCTGGGGTATATTTGTAGCAATAGCCAACAATACATTGTATGGGTCAAAATTATAGATTTTTCTTTTATGACAAAAATCATTAGGATATTAAGTAAAGATCATGTTCCATGAAGATATTTTGTAAATTTCCTACATTAAAACTTAATTTTTGATTAGTAATATGCATTGCTAAGAACTTCATTTGAACAACTTTAAAGATGATTTTCTCAATATTTAGATTTTTTTGCACCCTCAGATTCCAGATTTTCAAATAGTTGTATCTCAGCCAAATATTGTCCGATCCTAACAAACCATACATCAATGGAAAGATTATTTATTCAGATGATGCATAAATCTCAATTTTGA